CCCCAAAACCCCAAAACCCCAGAACATCTATTTTTGACCAATTCATAATTATTAGAAGGAATATAATATCTTTTCATATAATTTAATAATGAATCTGTAAGAAACTTTGGTATCAAATAACCATAAAGATTATTATACTCTATAAAATGCTCCATTGACTGGGTAGACAGAAAATCATCATTCAAATACTTCTACTGGAATAAAATGCTGTTGGATTGAGTTGAAAAAAGATTATACAATAACAAATTTATTTGCAATTCCAATCATATACATACCAGTTACAATCACAATATTCTTTTTTACTGGGTAAATTATCTTTCTTCTTAAAGATCCTGAATACTACAATGTAAGTGATTAAGACATTAGCTAAGTATCGAATAACTTAACTTAATTTTCAATGCCATTTTAAATTATTGGTGTAATCCTTATGGGTTATATCTATGATCTATTTGGAAGAAGATATTCAATTTTTATAAACCTTTTTCTTTAAGCTCTTTGCTTTTTTATAATACCATTAGGAGCTCCAAATGTTAATCCTATGGTATAAATAGCGAGAACAACTTAATTGGTCACAAATGCTTGCACTGTAGTACATCCACTAATAAATGACTATGTATTAAAAAAATCTAGGGGAATGGCTAATGCCTTGCAAGTAGTTGGATAATGTGTTGGTGATATAATTATCGTAGTTATTTTGAAATTTCTATAAGATATTGAAATTGGAAAATAATTTATGGTTACAGGCATCATAATAATAGTTTTTTCGTTTTTAGTGCTTTTTATGATATAAGAGCCAGATATGAAAAAGTGATAAATAACTTCTTCTACTGAAAATGCCATAAATTTATCTATATGTTAATAAGTAAAGAGTGTTCAAAATATACAAGGGGCAATAAGTTATGCTTTTCTATTATCAGAAGCAGGTAGTTGCAAAATTATAGAGATTAAAGTACTACTTTGACTGATAATCAATCAAATTTTCTTTATTTTTAAGATATTGTCAATAAATGTCGTAAATGCTTACAAATGCCAAAACGCCCTTATAATTGCAACATTTGGCAATGTCATTATAAGAATGAATGTAGTAATGCTGAGTGCTTTTATGACAATCTGGATTTCTAGTTTTGTAGAAGAAGGTACTCTAAAAAGTTAGACTGAGGCACAATAACTAATTTATAATTACAATATGTACGGAGCAATTCTCAATTTTTGTTTAGCTATTCCTGCTGGGATTTTAGCCGATATGTTTAAATTTACTTATTTAATTATGATAACTGGCGTCATTAAACTTACAGCAATTATCATTTTTATGTTTCTATAAAGTCCAACTGCAAATTTAACTATAGTAGTGTTTATTTTAATGGCAGTTACTCACCAAATGTAGAATTTATTTGCTGATTCTTTATTTACTAAAAATCTTCCTAAAGATACTAGAGGGGTATTATGTGGAGTATATTAATTTTTTGGAAGTATAGGAGTATTCATTTACTCTTGGGTTGGAACTATTTTATCATAAAAGTATGGACTTCAATCTCCATTCTTATGTGTTTTAGCATTGGATATTTTATGGATTATTGTTATTTTATATCTTGCCTGCTAAAAAAAATTTAATCAATGAGAAGTTGATTAATTCCTACTTTAATTATATCTTAACTTATTTCTGCATTTAGGGGTTTTGGGGTTTTGGGG